ATTATTATACAACCTTGTGCAAATTAATTGAAACAACCATTTTAGTTTACTGTCTTTCAAAATACGGTCAGTTTTAGACACACTGGAGTGACAGGGTGTAATTGATATCTATATTTCCTCAGAGTAGGTCATTTGCAGTGGTGTGCAGTAATATGAATCTATTTCGGGGTGTTTGATAAAATTCGTTTGGTGTTAAAAAATATTACGTCATCGAGGATTGGATCTGATTTTCATCACGCTCAGACACTATTGTTTCGGTTGTCAATTAGTTGTCCTACGACCACTGTCTGCCAAAAACCTTACACCGAGGAAGCATACGAAAATTGTAACGCTGCACGCACACACTGGCAACCTTTACCAGTGAGCAAATCAAAGTACTATAAATTGACCCGGAAATACTCCTGATTTAAATGCAATGGAGAATCTCTGGCCAATCTGCATAGAACGACCTCGTGGAACAGACATACGAAGTGCTAACATATGCACTGAGTCATGTTTCATGGGAAAAAATAACGAAAAAGTAAATAACGGAATAATTCGTTTTGTTTCAATTAATTTGCACAAGGGTATATATAACTAGATCAACCGTATAAAAAATATTCAAATGTAGGGTAGTGAATGGTATAAATATCTGTCCTGTAAAATATATTTAAAATTATTTAATAATGTTTGTATAGTACATTATGAAAGTTTAATATTTATCATACATATAATAACTGAAATATAATATGGAAAGATTTGTTTATATGCGCGGATTGATATAAGATTGTGTATCGAAAACAAATACTGAATATCATATTAACAATGCCTTCAGAAAAAGTAAAATATCCATAGCTCAAGAACCCACGTTTCTAATTTGAATGATATTTATGACTGCACTCGACACCAGTTCAAGGTACAATATACTTCTAAATTTGTTGGGTTATTATTTACTGTTTAAGCTGTATCATGAGAACACACACATACACACACACATATATATATAGATATATTTATAGATAATATTAGTGGGTAAAACACACGCACACCCACACACACATAGATATATGTATTATATATATATATATATGTATGTATGTATACGTGTATACATACATACACATGCACACACACACACACACACACACACACACACACACACACACACACACATATATATATATATATATATATATATATATATATATATATAAAGATTTCCAAGAGGATAGAATCCAGGTAGAACTCAATGTCCAGGACAGAGTAAGAATATGATAAAGAGGTAAACACTAATATTCTCAGTTATAATTTATTACATTGAATCGTAATCATGATTCAATTCATCAGACCTACAAATTCAAAAGCTTTTTGAATTTGTAGGTCTGATGAATTGTGTCGTAATTACGATCCCTACGTAATAAATTATAACCATGGAATATTAGTGTTTAAGCCTTTTTATTATATATATATATATATATATATATATATATTACTAATATATATATATATATATATATATATATATATATATATATATATATATATATATATATATATATATATTACTAATATATATATATATATATATATATATATATATATATATATATATATTATATATATATATATATATATATATATATATATATATATATATATATATTACCACTACTATTATTATATATATATATATATATATATATATACCTTACATACAAGATGAGAGATTTAGTATTATATAGATTTTATATTATCTTAATTTGGTTGCTATTTTCTTTCCGATTCACTGATGAGGCGTTTAATTTATAATCAAATACAAGGACACTCGCACCTGGATATAAACCGCTAGTTTAGTTTTTATTCAAATATAGAAATAAAAACATCAAAAATACACCACACACTCTTTAGACAAAAACATAAACTAAAAAGAAAATCGATAGATTTACTGATGGTGATGTTAATAAATCGTGGGCCAAAATTCGGAGACGCGATAGAAATTTTCACTGATTTCTTGCTGAATTTCTCTGCTAAACAAATGACCGCCCCACCCACAACTGAAAAAAATATATGTCATGTTTATTTTTTTGGTTCTTGTAATGGTAGATACAATTTATTCCCGGTGAAACAAAATTAGTATTTTATAAAAGGCTGACTGAATTTCTGAGATGAAATTTTATGATAAATTAAGTCGAATATCTTGATTTCTATTGGTTCTTTTACGACACTAGAATAACTTTTTTTCTTAGTGAAGTATATTAAACTTAATACAACACCGCATATATATATATATATATATATATATATATATATATATATATATATATTTGGTTGAATATATATATATATAGTTTGTTGAATAGATGTGAGTTTGTGACCTGGGTTTCACGCTTTAGCGATCGTCAGATTTGTCAGACAATTTGTAAGACAATTTGTCAGACAGTTTGTCAAAGTTTCTATCCAACCAAATTGTCAGACAGTTTGTCTGACGATTTATTTATATTTATATACATTTTCACAAAGATATGTCCCGAAACCCAGGGTTTCACAAACACATCTATCCAATGGGCGTCGTTAAATATGTTTTGACTCTCTATCTCTGTATGATGACCAGCCAATATTGAGCACATGTGTATGCATATTCAATTACATAATATATATATATTATTACGCGGGGAGGTGGGTATAGATCTATATAATATTTTTGAAATAAAAAATTATTATACATACTTATATTTATTTATATTTATATACACTTTTCAAAGAGTCACACACACACACACACACACACACACACACACACACACACACACACACACATACATGAATTATATATATATTTATATATATATATATATATATATATATATATATATATATATATAAAAATGATTCTACCTACAAATTAACAATCATATTTAGTTTATAATAAGTAAGAATTGACTTTAAAGATAAAATAAGTATCCATTTGTTATTTGCAACTTAAAAGACACGAGAAAATAATTCATATGTCTTTCTACTGGGATAGGCTTTCCTTTCATGAAATTTATTTGTAATCAGTTTTTTATTAATTTTTTATTTCTTATCTTACATAGGATTTAAAAATATTAACGCCCAGAGTTGCAGAAGAAAACGGCTGGAGATGGATCTATCTCTGATATTCTTTAAGTAAAAAAGTATATTATATATATATTTATTCAAAAATTATGTTTTGGCTAAATAATATTTGCTAGTTTGCCTTTTTAAAATATCGTTTTGCTCGAAAATTATATATATATATATATATATATGTTGAGTTTATACAAATACATATATATATATATATATATATATATATATATATATATATATATAAAAAAGTGTATGTATTTTGCTCGAAAATATATTTATATATATATATATATATATATATATATATATATATATATATATATATATCCTTTTTTCTTTTTATTTCTTACAAAGTTTTTTATTTACATACAATTAATGAATTACTGTTAAATTATGTTGCCTGTTCAGTGAAAATATCAACTGTTCGTTTGTCGTTACATCGGATCAAAATACTATTTCAAATATATCATATGTATCCGTTAAATTTTGAATTTATGTTTCATGACATCTTACTTAACATAGACTATTTTGATTGGTTGAACCGGTTATCGACATAAGCTTCTTTACATTTCTATATCATGCTTATATTTATATTTCTCTCATTTTACTTTTCTTTGAAAACTCGACTATATCTAGTGTCTTTCTTTCTTCTCGGTCTTCTTATTTTATTTTATTTTTTCTTTTTTCTTTTTCAGAAGAAACTATATCTTTTCTTTCTTTCCTTTTCTCTTCTTGTGTCTTTCATTCTTTTTATTTTTAGAAAAGACTATATCTTATGTCTTGTTTCTTGCTTGCTTGTTTTTTTTCTTCGCCGGAAAAGTGATTTTAAGTAAATAGTAAAAATTGTAACAACCCTCATTTACCCTGATAATACTGATGAGATGCGATATTTGTAGCGGTTTTACGTATGTTCGAATGTAATATCTTATTATATATATATATATAAGTGTGTTTGTGTACATACATACATACATACATATATATATATATATATATATATATATATATATATATATATATATATATATATATATATATATATATATATATATATATATATAAAATATAAAAGTGAACATAGAAGTCAACACTTAGAGGCGACAGTCTGTTTCATGTTATATGCAATCGTCAGGCCATATATATATATATGTGTGTGTGTGTGAGTGTGTGTGTTTGTGTATATAATACATGTTACACCAATCAGAATATTTCAGAAAATAAAGCTTATTTTCAAGTAAGCAACCTTTGTAATTACAGCTCCAATATCAATATACAACATTATTATTATTATTTATTATTATTTGTGTATACTATGTTTCCTGCTTTGTATCTTGTAGAGCCAGAGCAAAACTATGGTCCTTAGACCCTATAAGATAATTGCCATTTAATCGATAGCGCTTTTTTAGTATATCAGATGTTTCTAGTAAGGCGATGTTTCCGGGGACACTTTAATAAATCTGTCCATTCCTTTTCTCACTAGACCCAAAGCAGCGTTTACAATTGATACACTCTCAGTCTTTATTCTCCACATCACTATCTCCATGCCCACGCATTTGGACAATTTCACGATAATATTCATGGAGGTGTTTCTCTCAGATGCTACTGCTATATCAATAAGCATACACTTTCTGAATTTCGTGTTTTTTATGATAATATCAGGTCTGCTGTTTGTTATTTCCTTGTCATTCTGAATTGTCAGGTCCCAGAGGATAGTTACATCATTTTGGGTGACTACTTCGGGTTTTTGCTCATACCATGTCTCAGTGGTTTTGATTTTGTGTGTAGAACCACCACTTAATTGCTGTTGGTCCTAGGTCTACCTTGAGCCGGAGTAGTAGCACCTTTTATGATTCCAGCTATGCGTCAACAGTGAAACCCCTAACAAAAACAAAACATTATGGAGGTACAAAATC